GCTCCTACTTTCACTTAGGCTGTTAGTTGTGACATTGCTGTTTTGTGACATTTTATATCCTGGGTTGTATTGCATGGACTCAGCATGGAGCTTGCTCCGCATCCTAGACTACTCAGGTTTTCTTTTCTTTGGTAGAGTTCCGCTTCTTGGCGGAAGCATGTTTGTATCTAGGTGATCCATCACATGCCGAGGATCGTGTAACGGACCTCGGGTTGGCCTGTGAGACCAGCCCCTTGGCCTGTTCTCACAGGCCTGTGTTATATTCGGGGTAGGCCAGTCCAGGCCAGTACCTCTGTCGGTACCAGCCAGTCCAGTCCAGTCCCGTCAGTCCGCTGGGGTATACCCCAGCCATTTTCTGTTTTCAGTCTCATTCCTCACTTGCACATTTTGGAGTACGTGCGTTGGAGTCTTGCGTGGGGAGCTGCGTTGTGCCATCTTGCTCCCCCCCTTCTTCCTCCATCTCCATCTCTGTCACTAGCGGAGCACCACACCTGGTGGGTCCGCTACAGTCTCTCTCTCTCTCTCTCTCTCTCTCTCTCTCTCTCTCTCTTGTAGTCTGCCAGATAGCGAGACGGTGAGGGAGAGATGGTGGACTTAGAGGAGGAAGAAGAAACTCTCTCTCTCTCGCTGGTGCCAGGTACTAACCTGTGAAGGTGGCGCCTTGTTGCAGGTACATCGAAGACGAAGCTGAAGCTATGGCGCCACAGGTAAGATCCCTGGTAAGTCTCCCTGGCCTCCGCCACTCTCCTCTCTCCCAACGCTACTCTAAGATCCTAACAGTGCCCAGCACTGAAGACTACTCCTATCGCTAGCTACTACTACTGCAGCGCTACTGCAGAGTGCTGCTGCGGAATCCTGAAGACTGCCTCCTGCCTCCTCAACTGCCTGCAGCCTGCAGGGCGGACCAGTACTATATAGTGCTGGTCCGGCTGGGAGGCTTCTCGTGCCAGACCCTGGCGCTGAAGTTCAAAAAAAAATCGTCTTGAAAAGGGCCTAAAAGTGGCCTGCGCTTATCCCTGGTCTGGCGCCTAAGTTCAGGAAAGGCCGGCTTTATGAGGGGGCCTGAAAATGGCCCTCCTTTTTAGGCTTTTAGGCTGAAACGACACACTGTCAGGGCCCGGAGGGCCCTGACTTTCCGTCTGGTCGGGCCCTGCAGGCCCGTGTGGTGCGCAGTATGCCACAGAGAGAGAGAGAGAGGGGCAGCGAGTTCGTGGCGGCAAGTTTTGAAAAATAAAATGGGAATGACTCTTCCCGCAGCATCCCGCTTTTGCGGGAAAATGCATTCCGGTTTCTGAGCTCTCTCTCTCTCTCTCTCTCTCTCTCTCTCTCTCTCTCTCTCTCTCTCTCTCTCTCTCTCTCTCTCTC